ATGGCTTCAAGGGGCTTTTAGTCGGGGTAACATATTACCAGGGAATTCTCGACAGAGGAAAGCTCTGGGAAGGTATGATTCCCGTTTCCTGTTTCAAAACCCCATGAAACCACATCAGATTTCCTCACTGGAGACAAAATCTGGGGATAAAGATTTCCATTCTCTAACAGCAGGAGGTGTTAGGCAGCCTTGGAGATATGAGCTATAGGCTTTAGGGCCTCTGGGGAGTGGTTAGCTGAGACCAAAGGAGATAGACAGGAGGGATTTGAAAAGATCTACAAGGGTTCATGCTGCAGGGGAGCAGGACCAAGCTGCTAGTCAAGGAGTAACATTTAAAGCTTTGCCGTGTCTCTTTAAGGTTTTCCAATGTGGCGGTGCATTGTTTCTGTTAAGAAGGCTTTTCCTTCAGCAGTCTTTGCCCAAGTGTTTCCTCTGTACACACTGTTTCTGAGCAGTTAGAGTGAACAGCACAGAAGAGGCCAGCACAATGCAACCGGACACTTAGGGCCAGAGCTCAGAATAGCCCCAGCCCTGACGTGGCCCCTCCTGTCCCATCCGATAGGTTTTCATTCACTCCTTCACTGCAATTATCATTTTGACCACTCTAATTATTAGGAAATGTCTACCAGGCCCATTTTTTTTTTTAAGAACACTACCTTCCTCCAGTATGTATAAACAGAGCATCACAATAGCCTGTAGGGAAGACAAGCTTGAGTCATTATGATTTCATGTCTGTAAAATGTTGAGGTCCTGACCTCCAAAAAGACAAAACCCACCATTTCACCATTTCAGTCTCTCTGTTTCAGAACATAGAACCAGAGGGGCTTAGAGAGAGAAGGTTCGGTGGCTGCTTTTTCTTATCACTCCAAATATCTAAGCAATATAAAATTAAAAATGATCCTTGTAAAAATCAAACAGGACACCAAAGAAAAGACAGAGACCATATCATACCACTTGATTGTAAATACTAAGTATGAAATACTAAGTAAAAATGTGAGCAGAGATATGAGAACCATATAATTTTGCACATGCTTTACTTAATTCATATTATACATTGATGAATGTGTCCTTTGTTTTAACTGATATTTGGTGACTGGGAACTCTGTCCCAAATACTGCCATACACTTCCAAAAATGCATTTCCCTGAAAAGCCCTCATGAGAAGTCCCAGAATTTGTAACAATACTCTCTTTCTTAATGGCCATCAGAGGACAGTGGAATTTCTAGGATTATTCCTGACTTTGACAGGTGAGAACGCACTTCCTTTGGGGCTCAGCTTTGAAGTGGAGGGAAAACACCACAATATATCCTAACAGCTTTGAAAGAGCACTGAGCAAGCTTCAGAAACGTAGGCATTTCAGGCCATATTGTCTTGCTGTTCTTTATGTTTCCTGAGTTGCTAGCTGGACTCAAAGTTAAGGACAGGCCCCTCCTCATGAAGTGAGAGCTGCCAAGGCCACTGGGGAGTTACCTAGCCCAGCAGAGCCAAGGCCTTATCTCAAAGGATAAGGTGGAGTTTGCTCTTTCCCCTATTGCGAAATATGAGAATATTAAGTAATCTGTTTATATCACACAGCTACAAAATCCAAGCTGGCTTTATTTTTTGAGACACAGTCTTCAGGCTACCCTTGAACTCTTGCTCCTCCTGCCTCCACTTCTCAAGCTAGAATTATAGATAACAACCACTATACCCATCTCCAAGCTGACTTCTTTTTTAGTCCATACAATTTCCTCCCATCTGGTGAAAAAAAAAAAAAAAACTATCTCAAGCTTGGCTTAACCAACAAAACCTGGCAATTTCCTCTTTCTATGTTTGAAATCAAATCCAAGTAGTTGTTTCCCCTGGTCTAGGCTGTTGTAGCAGCACCAATTTATCGTCTACTGACCAGTTCTATACAGCAGTGTCCAAGGATAAGCTTAGGCCTTTTGATTCAGAGCTGAGATCTGTGTCTGAACTCTTTCTACAAGTTGATACACTTGGCGCTCAATATTAACAATATTAAAGGCGCACACAGTGTAAGGTAACCAGCGAAGGAATGGATCCAAAAGCTTCCATTTATTGTCAAAATTGAAACTGGCACTTGGTTTCCTTTTTGGAACGCTACATCTAAGCCATTAACAACTGAGGGAAATTTTATGAAAACAAGGTTTAAGTCTTTAAATATATGCGGCACAGATAAGTTCATTATTTAAACTAAAGATGACTCCTGTCTTGACTCAGTTTGTTCTCTGCATTTTGCAGCTGATGGGTCTCTATTGAGATTTTAGGAGGCGGAGTAAGTGCCATGCCGCCCACTGAGAGTAAGGTTGAACAAGGTGAAGTGGGGGCACAGTCTAAGGTCCCAGTTTCTACAGCCCAAGAACCTCATTAGAAGAAGCCGGGAGAGAACCTAGCTCTTCTGGCCTCACGACACTGAACCCATGCATCCCACCTTGGGGATTCTCAGGATCACTGCCTGAACATGTCTAAGCAGCTATAGCTACTAGACCTCAGGTACTAAAACCTATGGTAATTACAAAATAAACAAAGTTTCTAGCTTACTTTTGCAAGGTGTGTTGTAATATACTTTAATTACGGTCATCCTAGAAGAAAAGCAAATAACTTCTGGGGTCAAAGGAAACATAAGTGATAACTGACAGGAAGGTGCTCCAGCTCGTTGTCCTTTGAACTCTCAGTCCTTAAGCACAGGAGAACACCTGCCTACGTGTGCCAAAGACGCAGCTATTTGGGAAGTAGCATGTCGTTCCCCATCGGTAACACTTTTTTTTTTTTGTGAAATTATAAATAGGAGATGCACTTACAACCTTGAAAAACATATCCCCACCTAAAAGGCCATCTTCATCAAAAGTCAAGACAATCACAGTCCCTCTCCTCAGTCAGTCACGGGGTGCACGGATACACCATCACACTCTGGTCAGTTTCAACTTCTTTGTACTCCCACCCAGAACTAATACTGCACTTAAGTCCTCCCAACCCTACCTAAGGAAGCCAGCTTGGAGAGAGGAGGACCAAATGGAAGCGTACTGAAAGAGAAAGAGCCAGTTTATAACTTCCACCTTGTCTACTATAGATTGTTTTCCACTGTTGGAAATCTCCATCAAATCTACCAGAAAGCAACTACCATCCTGAATGGCCTGTCTTCAACAGGCGACACCTTTGTGTGCCTTGAAATAGTGGGATCACATCAGGCACTGGCCCACAACATGAAAGGGTGACTCTAATGTGGATGTCTTATGAGAATGGGCTAGTGCAAGTTTGGTTGCCATTAAACCAACACACTTCTGACACTGAACAGGCACTTCCTGAAACCTCTGGTTTTCTCCCAGAGAAATCTGGTTACAGAATTGTGTGCTGTTTATGTTATGGTTTATACTGTGATCAATAGATTAATTTTCTGCTTGAAAATCAAGGGAAATAATTCAGGAAATATAGTTCCTAGCCAAATCTTTAAGAATCTGACCACAATACTATGCTGTTGATCTGAAGCACCTTCAGGACTCTGGATTTACATCCCCTGAGAACTCAGCTAGGGCCCTGTTCTCACAGGAGAATGTGGGCACACTGTACGTTCCTGTTCCCAAAGTTTTTTTTTTTTCACTTTAATACTTCTACAAACCATAGAATTTTCAATCAAACCTACATTATTCCTTACGCACTAACTTGATGACTTTATCTCCTTTTACAGTAAGGGATAATGACAGTGACTGAAATGAAGTTTCATCACTGAAGGAAAGTTTTACTCTTTTGCCTTCCACAACTTGACATTTTCCATAGTCATGTTATAAAAATGCAAGGAACCCATAAAACAATATGAGAGAAAATACTGCAGTTTCCATTTTTCTAAGGAACTTAGGCATCAAATTCTTTTCTTCAAGTGCTTAAGTTGGGGGAAGCAGGGGGTGGCGCGGAGGGAGCACCAATTGTCCACAGTACAGGGCAGAAGAAACTTACTAAATAAAGAAGAGAAACAGCCTAGCAATCACCATCCTGGAGCTGTCACCAGTAGCACAGGAGCAGGAATACCCTCAACCTGGTGTTCCATCTGCTTGAAGAATCGCTCCAGAGCAGACAATATCCACTTTCCTCTTCCCAATGCCATGGTCCTCTATGCCAAGGTTTTGGGAGGCATGAAACACTAACCAAAAGGACCAGTCAGTCCACAGCCTCCAAAGCACAGAACTGTCTCTCAAGTGACATTCACAGGAGGAACCAGTCACATCGCTCATCTGTGAGCTCCATTTGATGCTATCTATAACCCCGACTGCCATATGAAATCTCATACTTTTAAATACCAATAACAGACTATACATTCCTGGTGCCTTCACATTATTACTTCTGTAAATAGTAATGAAGCCCTGCCTTTTCACTACCAGTCAAGGAGTACTCGCCTGGCATTTCTGGTAAGTCAGGAGGTAAGTCAAAGGGACACATACTGAACTATGTTGGCACTAGATAAACTGGAACTCCTCTTCAGACACTGGAAACATCAGTGAAAGAGATTCTGATGAGCTTTCACATCGAAAATGTGTGCCTGTATTTTCTTAACTAAGTCTCATCCATGACAACCATTCTCATCACCCTCAGCTTAGACCTGTTTCTCTACAACAACGATTATCATTCTCTCCTCCAGCAACATCTGTTTCTCTCCCCTGTATGCTAAAAAAATAAAAATAAAAATAAAAAAAGAAATAGTCGAAAGCACTAACAATCATATTTCTATAGATCTGTCAGCTTCCTGGAATTATCTAGTAAAACATTCATTTCTGATGGAAAAGTAACACGAGCACCTGTTTTAAAATAACATTTAAAAAAAAAAATCTAATAGGTAAGACTCTGCTGAATTCAATTCCGAGGGTCCGATGGAGTTCTTAAAATTACTTCCTGTGTTAAAGCAAAATGTAGAGATTATCTAGGCAAGATCTAGTATTTAACTTTAAAAATGCCATTATCTACAGAGACACGGATATAAAGACACACTCCCCCAGACCCAAAGGCCTCACCTTCTACTTCTTCTTCATCACACACATGTTTAAGGAAGGAAGCCCCTCTGTCCAGGACAGCTTCATCCTCCATCCTGTAGTAATAGAAAAGAAAAAAAGAATGCTCAGACTTCTCCTGAAGTGAGCCACTTGAAGCAGCCCAGCTTCTGGGCAGGTTAACCTGCAAGCTGTTGTTCATGTTTGCAGGGCAGAGTCCCTCTTCCTTTGGTGGCTGTCACTCCTTCACACAGCTCTTCTCATCTGGTGCTGGAGAACACGCTGGCCCCACATAGCTTCGGTTCTAACCTTGAGCGGGTAGCCACATGGATAGGTAACAGAAAATCATCCCAATCTTGTAGGCTGGGTGTTGAGGGGGATTCTCCCTCCGGGGATTTGCAGAAGGAGAAAACAAAATTTAAAAAAAAAAAAAAATACCAAGAGAGGAAGTTTGGTGTGTCTGGAGTGCTCGTGACGATCGTTTGTGGAAATCCAGACTCAGTGCTTAGCTCTTTAAACACCCACTGCATAAAATGTATACCCCCATACGAGCACACCCACACACCCACACACACACACACACACACACACACACACACACACACACACACAC